ATTCTGAGTTTGGAGCTGGTGCACTCACTGCAGTAGCATATCCTCTGTTTTCACGAGTGGACAGAGGGTGGCCAATCAAAGGAACCCCAGAGAACATGACATCTGGGTGTTCGGTAGCCAATGTCCCCGGCAACTGGCAAATCAATTCAACTGCAATTTACAAATATAAGGAGGTCTCCTTTTTCTTCCTCCTGACCCCTCCTGCCCTCCCAACTCCACCTGATGATGCTTCCAAGTGCACAGTCCGGGGCCTGGTGATTGTCATGTTCTTGTGTCTGCCACAGGGAATCCATCAGAGCTTCTCAAGACACAGGAGGAGGAAGGGAGAAGCTCCAAGGACAGACCCCAGGAAAGCTCCTTCCACTGCTGAGAGTAGGAACCCTGGCCTGCCAGGCAGGCGCTGAGAACCCAGGGAGGCCCAGGGTAGCATGCCCAAAGGGTGAAGGGGAGGGCATGGCATGCTGGACACGTAAGATGTCCCACTTAACCTCATCAGTGATCCATGAGGCAGGGACTGCCATCCTCATTTACAGATGAGAAAACCAAAGCCCAGGTTGGACGTGGTCACCCAGTTGGTTAACAAAGGATGTGGAACTCAAACCCAGGTCTGCCTGACCCCCGGGTGCATCCGCTTTCCTCTTCACCATAGTGCCCCCAAGGCAAGAGCAATCCAGAGTCCAGTGAGCAGGTTTCCAGCTGGCCAGTTTCCTCCCAATAGGCCATCTTCCAGTCAGAGCCATTTTCCGACACGGCCATTATCCACCCCAGAAAAATCAGGATGGCAAACACCAAGGTGGGATGCTCACACCGTCCTCCACTAGAAAGGACTGGGGCAGGAGCCTGTCTGGGGCAGCATCTTCCTTGCACTTCTCTCCCTTCTCAAGTTCACACCACACTTGATTCACTGAACTAGTTTACAGAACTCCAGAGGAGAGTGAAGTACTGAAGCCTCCCAGGGGGCAGCCATAGGCCAGCACGGGGCAGGGCATATAGTGAGGGTTGGCAGCCTGGCGTGGTGGTTACAGCACAGACCTGCAAGCCAGGCTGACTGGGTTTGCATCTGAGTGCCGCCCCCTCCCCCCCATCCCATCTTGGGCAAGAGAGTAACTTCTCTGTGCTTCAGTCTGCTCTTCTGTAGGGTGGGGAGACAGAGCCAGCCAAACCCAGATGGATGAAAGGAGCTAATGTTTATGTAACTCAGAACAGCACCCAGTACAGGGTGAGGGCTACGGGAGCATTAGTTAAACCTTAAATACACATAGTTTAAAGTCTCTCGTTTAGTTTTGGTTTTCAGTAATGCTATGAAAACCCTTCTGAAATGTTCACTCCCCTTTTTCTGCTCTGGAAAGTACAACACAAATAATAAGTCAGTAATTCACTCCGGAGGTGGAATATGGCAAGTATCGTTCTGTTTAATCGATAGTCTGCATAGCCCTGGTTTTGTAAATAGCATCATTGTGATTTCAGTGCCCTCTCTGTTTTCTCACTTGCTTTAATGTAGGAGGTGTACAATGAAGTGGGGTGGCTGGGTTTTTAGGAGACACATCACAACTTAGAAATCCCAAGTGGTCACCTGGGCAGGCTAGGGTCCCGTTATTCAGACAGGAGGCACTGGGCAGGAAACCACCTCAGCGTGGCCTCTGTCCACCTGCCTCTCTCTTCTCTTCCTTCCCCTCCCTCCCCTCTGGAGCTTGTTTACAGTTTAGAAGGACCTTAATTATCATCGAATATGACTTCGTGGGTGAGCTAACCAAGGTTGAACAGGTGACTAGAAACCAGCCTCTCCACCACTTAAACCAGCCACTAAGAATGTTACCAAACCTATTTACCACTTTTGGCTCCAAATGACTGGTTAACCGTAAAAAAAAAATTTAGTCCACTTTTAAAAGACAAATATCTACCCCCACTGAGATTTAAAAGAATGAGCAACCAGCTATGCACACAGTTACTAGTACTATCAGAGTATATGACAGTTTGTCCCCTTGACATCCAGCCCGCTTGGAGGAAGAAAGGCCCAGTTTAAATTCACATCACAGATTAGAAAAGGCTGCAAAGAATTCCTCTAGCCAGCAGGCAACATTGGGGCTTTGCCCATATGCGAGTGAAGGAAAGTCTGTCATATACTGGCACCTGGCAGTCAGTGGGACAGGGCTGGGAACCAGGGACAGGCAGGTGTGCACACACACCCCCCCACACACACACACAAGGCCCACTGGCAGGAAGTTAAGCCATTGCAGGTGGACCATCAGACCCTGGGAGCCCAGGGACCAGCAGTTAACCAGCACTGGATAAGTTATACCAGGGCTCCAGGGTGGGCATTTCAGTGAGCAGGTGAGCCATGAGCAGGAACTGGGTAGCAGTCAAGAGGCAGCCACCCTGACAGGCCTGGAACTGCCTGGTGTCAAGATGGCCTGGAGGAGATAGCAGGGCCCAGCTAGGGCCTGAGTACCAAGCCAGGGCTCGTGTCTTGGAAGGACTCACAAGAGCAGGGCTGGGATGTCTTGGCAAACCTGTTGCCAAGCAGGTTATAAAGGCAGGGGCAGGCATACAGGGAACTGAGAAAATGACCCCATGTCTGGTCTTGGAACAAGGCCAGCTGTGCAGCCCACCACCAGGTCAGCACAGGACCAGGGCATGGCTCTCTCGGTGCCAGATCCCCTGAGCTTCTAAACTGCCTCCTTGGATCCCCGGCCACCACCAGCGGGTATGGGGCAGGGGGGCTCAGCTGGGCCTTTAGACAGGTCCAAGTGGTCCTAGCTGCATTGAAAGAAGGGCAGCGGGGGCAAGAGCCAGGTTGGAAGCTGATGTGCTTGGCTGAGCAAAATCATCCCAGGCTGGAAACTTTCCCAACGAGGGGAGAAGTATTCCTATGTGGTTCCGAAGTGACAAGGTACCGGAGCCTAGAAAACGCAGGATAGGTAGCACAGTCTTGCAGATAACGTGTGTCCCAGATCAGGAGTCCCCAGGGGGGCTGGCGGCAAAGAAAGTTCATTTCATAGATTTTGCTGACTCTGGAGGTAAAGGCACAGTGAGCCTACACTGCATGTGGTAACTCTCCCAAAAGAAGTCCAAAACAGTTTAAGATCTATCTCTGGTAGCCCCTACCAATCTCCTGATTTCTTTCCTGTTTCTTTCCCCTTATCTCCCCCAAGCCCAATCTCAACGTCTAGGCCCAAATGTCCTAATGTTACCAAGACTCATTCAGACTATTAAGCTAATTAACACTAAATAGTAACGTTTTATTCTTCCCAGTTTTATTAACACATTTTGAGAGGATCACAGAGAACAGGAGTCATCTCAACCAAAGGAATGAATATGTAATGGTAAAATTTTAGCTATGTGATGCTTGGGAGATGTTTTAAGGCAGAGTAAAGCTGCCCAGAATCCATTCCTCCCTTCATCATGGCACCTCCATCTCTTCTTGGGAAATTCCTCTTCCCCATCATGCAATCCAAGGGCTTATTTCCCATTAGGGATGCTGGATGTGACATATCCGTGCACCCAAGAATGGCAGGAGGTAGGCACAGGGTCCCAGTGCACACAGCTGGATGATGGTTGGTGCTCATTCATCACGGAGGAGGCAGCGTGCTGACGCCATAGATCCTGACAGCTAGCCCTGCAGATGCTCTTTGGCACCTGTCCTAGCGTCCTTGGTCTCCTACTTCCCACTGATGCTATGAGCCACCTCCCCGCCAAGCCTTTAAGTTAACCAGACTTAAGTTAACCAGACTTTGCTGTTTGCAAAATACATGGATCCCAAGTGGCCCCCACAACTGCCACACACAGTCAGGCCAGTGATGATGGGGAAGAGGGCGGGCTGGCTCAGCGCCCCTCCACACAGGGGCTGGAACACAGTACATCACAGTGGCCACCACCGTGGACATGGCACATGGGTGACCAGAAACAAGAGTCACTTGGAGGGACCCAGGATTGAGAGTGGAAAACGGCATCCCATCTCCCAAAGGTGACAGGATGGGATCATGGGCATCCTGAAGGCCATGCAGACAGCAGGAACATCCCCTCACCTGGCGATCTCCCCCATCTCCTGCCATGTGCACTGGCACACGCACAAGAACACTGCAAGCCCACACACACGTGTACACACTCAGCTAGCAGGCAGTCCACTGGTCCTCTTGGGGAAGCTCTCTCCAGGAGAGCATGGCAGGCCCTTGTCTGGGGGAGGCTGGGTGGTAAGTGGAGAAAACAAGAAGGGGTGGACCTCAGTCATCTTCCTTCCCTGGTGGGACCAAGAAGCCAGGCCCCTGCCTTCACAATCACATACCTTAAATAAACCAGGAATCTCCGTGGGGACACTAACAGGGCAACTACAGAGTCATCCAGGCAGCCTTAAAACAAAAACATACCCTAAGCATGACATCAAGTTGTCCCCCACCTCCATCCTCAGGGCCACTTTTGTTCCTTCCGGGTTGGGACCAACCACCAAAGGGCACTGGCACCGATCAGGAAGGGGAGGTGGGACTCTCGGGCCCGCTGAGTGTATAAGCACCTCCTAACGAGCGTCATCACCCACACCAAGCACACAGGATGGATGGTCCACCGGGGGCCCCAGGTAAGCAGCCGAGTGTGGCACTGGGCCAGGAACCGGGGGAGAAGGCACAGCGGAGTGAGGCAGAAAACAAGCTGCTTCCTAGGACGTTTATTGGAGCCTGGCCAGCGTGATGACAATCAGGAGCCCCCTTCCAAGGCCCGGCACCCGACGGGCCGGGACACAGGGCGTCACTGTCCTTTGATCCCATTATAGACAATGTTATAAAAAAAATAAACTTTACAATAATACATTTCGCTCATCTGTTGGGGTATTATTTTGATAGTTTTGTTTCTTAAAAAAAGGAAAGAAAGGGGAAACCACACAATATATGTATATGGATGTGTATATACATATATGTTGAGAAGGGGAAAATGTTGTGTACATACAGTTGGTGTACGTCTCAGAAATGAAGAAAGGTAAGGTGGGAGGGGGAGAGAGAGAGCTGCAGACACCAGAGCGTGGGGCAGTGCATGTCCACCGTGTTCTTCTCTGCCCCTCAGCAGCCCCTCTCTCCAAAGAAACCCACCAAAAGTATCATTTCTCTTTTATTTAGAAATTCCTGCAACCAAGGAGGAAGCAGCAGCCTTGAGCTGGTGCCCAAGTGTTGCTCCCTCCTCCCAAGGGGGTCTCCCAGGTGGGCCAAGCTCCCAAGCCCCTGGAGCTGCTCAGCCCCCTATGCTGCAGTTGGTGGGGGGACCTCCCTGTCACAGCCCTCCACAGGTCAGAAGCAGACTTGCCCAGCCCAGAGGAAGGGCAAAATAAACTCCACCCTTGAAGCCATGTGGAGGTGCTACAAGTGCCCAGTTGGACCCAGGGGCCAGCCTCACTGCTCTGTCACCTGACACCCACTGCCAGCCCCAGTAAGTCCCCAGAGTGGGCAACTTGAGAACAGCAGTGGCCACTGTCCTGCCTCAGACCACATGAGGCATGGCCACAGGTCCCTTGGCCACAGGGATCTCATCTTGGTTCCTTCCAGCAGCAGGGACCAGAGAGGAAAACACCAGAAGAAAGTGCAGGGCATGTTCTAGACCCTTGTGCCCTCCTCGGTGCTGGGTGCCCTTGCCAGGGGACCTCCAGGCGGCTCTCAGGCTGCCGGCCTACTGTCTGTCTGGTTTAGAAAAACTTCTCCAGAGAAGAAACCTGGGAGCAGACAGGTTCAGAGATAAGGTGGGAAAAAAATTTTTTGCAAGGTGTGTGTGTGTGTGTGTGTGTGTGTGTGTGTGTGTGTGTGTGTGTGTGTGTTTCCATTTCATCAGGCGGGTGTTCTCGTCACATAGCTTTCGGAAATCTCCAGACGTGGTGCCCAGAGTTTACAAGGCCAGCTTCAACATCAGGAAGGAGACTGCGGGCAAGGCGGCCGATGGTCTGGCTCTGCAGGGGCCTGAGTTAGGTCTGATCACCTTGTTAGTCCCTGGGATGATGTTGGTAGTGAGCTGAGGCCCCAGTAGAAGGAGAGACAGAGGCAAAGAGAACACAAAAGACAAACCAAATGAGTCAGAAGGGCTGGGAGCAGGCAAAGAAAAGGACTCCCCATGCTCCTGACCTCCCAGTCCACCCAGGACAACACGCCTTTGCCCTCCTGCTTGGAGGCAGAGCCAGGCTTCCAGGGAGCTGGGCTGAGCCCCCAGCTGGGGAAGGCAGGGCCAGTCCCCAGGACAACCCGGCTGACACTGCCAAGTGAGGAAGGAGGTCTTCAGACACAGGCCAGAGAGGAGGGGTGATATAAAGATCTCAAGGAGAAGAGGCTCCCAGGGTCCACAAGGACCTATTCCTACATGTGGCTGACTCCCTCCTCCTCCAGGAAGCATCCCCTGCATGTCTCTGACTGCGCTCTCCTCCTCCTGTAGAACCTCACATGGCCTCCTTCTCTGCTAAGTTACAGAGAGACTATTACGTAGTCAGATACCTTCATGCACTGGGGCCCCTGCTAGGAAGGGACTGTCTTTCTCCACGTCTCTGCCTCCTTGAGATCACGGAACCAGCACAGAGCAGGTGCTCTGAACACCTGTCTTAAAGGGTCAGGAAGGCCTGGGAGGGCCCCCGCTCAGAGCAGCCACGCGTGCCTCTCCCAGAGACAGCCAAGGGCCCTGGCTGCAGCCTCTGCACCCGCCCCCCCAGAGTACGTGCCCACCCCCAGGTCCAGGCGAACCAGCAGCTGGGCTGGCCCATCCCACAACGGGACCTGAGGGCTCTGAGTCTGAGGCTCGCCTGGAAACAGCCTCCTGTGGCCAGTCCCTGCACCACCGCACTCTGCCCCCACTCACCTCTGTGAAGCACATGCTTAGCTCTTTGGAGCTGTTGGCCTTCAGCCCCTGCTCCTGTGGGAGAAAAGGCACTAGTAAAGACGGGACCCCACAATTGAGCTTTGTCCTGTGACTGCTGAGGCCCAGTGATTCCGTGGCCCTGCCATCCGCTGTTTGCATCATGAAGCACAGGGCACATGTGAAGAGCACTGGCTCCATCCCAGGCAGCACAAGACCCTGCCCCTTTCTGGCATCCTCAGCAACTAGGTCCTGTCTCTGTGGGCTCTGAAGGAGAAAGTCCTAACTCTGCTCTACAACTTATAGCATAACAAAGTAATAAGCCACTCACAGGTCTCTCTACCATACTCTTGACAAAGCAGGGATCATGTCTTCCTCCCCTCACACAGAGCAGTGTCTGGCCCGTAACAGCAGCTCAGTAAATGTTTTACTCAATGCATGAATGCATGAATAAGTGAATGAATGCACGCATGCCACGGATTAGCATTGGCCTCTGAGCACCGGGATGACCATGGGTCCTCATTTGGGTTCATGGGGAAGGGCTGTGATTGATTAGTGATGTCTGCCACCAGTGCATGTTAGGTGGCCATCTGGCAATAGTGCCAAGTGTTAGCCTTTTCCCCTAAACAGACGTGTGGCGCCTGGGAGCTCTCTGATCAAGGTGAGGAATGGGAAAGGAAAGCTGACTTGGTGATGATTCAGGGTTCTGTGCCCCTGGCATGACCATGTGGATGCAGGACCAGAGGGTGTGCGTGACGAACAGGCCTTTGCTATCATCATCATAACAATGATCCATGGGAACCAGCTGGTGGATGTGGTGTTTGTATCCTGGCTTCAAATGGGCTTGGTTCTCAAAGCACCTGTGGGGAATCTCTGGCCACCAGAAGCAACTGGAAAGCCCAAGAAATTATGCCTAAATCACTGCTCTTGGCCAGAAGTATCATAATCCCTTGGACATCACAGACAATCTACCACCCAGGGCATCTGGTCAGCTAAACAAAGCCCCAGCTGTCACGCGGAGGTCTGGCCAAGAGCAGAGTCACTGCCAATGGTGGAGATGTGACCACGGTGATGATGAGTGCCGTGAGCATGGAACTAGGGACCAGACCCAGGAGGATCCTGCCCAAGACCATAGCACCAGTGATCCCAGGGGCCAAGATCCAGCCCAGTGAAGCCACCAACCTGCATCCCTGGAGAAGGGTATATGTTCTTGGGCCCTTCTGGCCCCAAGAACTGGATTCTGCTGCCCAAGACCAAGTGCAGCTCCGGCCAGGGCTGTGGGAGGCCACTGCCAGAATGACCGGCATGCCCCACCTCAGAGACTGTGCTGTCACCGTCTTCTGACTGCCCCCAACCTTCACCTTCACCTTCACCTTCACCTTCACCTTCACTTGGTCACTTCCCTGAGCAATTCCCAGCCCCTGCTAGCTCCCCACCTGTGACGTCCTGCGGCCTGTCGGGCTCTGCCACATAGCCCAGCACTATTCTTCTCTGCACCCTTTCCTGCTCTCACTGTTCCAGGTGTGGCCAGTCTGTATCCTTCCTGGGGCCCTCCCCACAGTGCTCACTAAATACAGAGCCCGTGCAGTCAAATAGCCATGATCAGGGTCCTCAACCCACACAGCTGTTTTTGTTTTATATATTGGAGTTATGCACAAAATGGTTTTAAAAAATAGTCTAATGCTTAAAAATAAATAAGGTCTGAGAAAACAACTCAATTAGATGACCTCTAGGCCCAGCCATACAACCTTCTCTGATGAGATGCCAGCTCTCAGGGAGCTCAGGGTCCTGGACACTGCTGGCCTTGGAAGGCTACGCCAGGGGAAACCCAGCAGCTGAGATGAAGCCTGGTATGGGCACTCTGGCGTGGGCACTCCGGAGCGCCTGGCCTGTGGCTGGACTGCACAGTTCAGAGTGAGTGGGATTGACAGGCTCCTCTTAAGAGGGGAGAGGGGAGGGTGTGCTGTCAGCTATGAGAGAGGGGAGAAGAGGGGGAGGAAAGAGGTTGAAGAGAGCAAATGCGAGTGAGGGAGAAGTAGGGAGAAAGGGGGAAAGGCAGCACCCAGAGATAAGGAGTGCAGGGAAGAGGGGG